GAGGCCTCACCGGCCGGCGACGCGGGCGCGGAGAGCACGGGGGGCGGCGCGGCCGCGGAGGAGGGCGAGGCCAGAAAGACTGAGGCTCCCGCTGCCCCGGAGACCAAAAGCGACGGGGCCGCGGCTTCAGACTCTAAACCCAGCAGCTCGGAGCCCTCGTCCAAGGAGACGCCCGCCGCGCCCGAGGCGCCCAGCTGCACAGCCAAGGCGGCCGCGCCCGCCGAGGAGCCCCCGGCCGAGCCCGCCGCTGGCGAGCAGAGCCTGGCGGTCAAGGAGTAACAGGGACAGCCCGGGGAAGACCGAGACCGCCTGCAAACGACCTGTCTCACTCTCTCTGTCTCTCACTCTGTCCTCTCTCTGTCTCTCCCCTCTACTAACTTGTTTCAGATTGGAAGTAAGGATATGTATTGCCCAAGGGATTAAAAAAAAAAAAGAGGCTGCGTCCCATGGGGGAGGGAGGGGGTGGGGAGAATCCAAATAGTATTTTTGTGGGGAAATATCTAATATACCTTCAGTCAACTTTACCAATCAGTCCTGGATTTTAGAGATCGCTGTCTGAAAGTACAGTACGTGGTAGGTTCCTGAACTGCTGTCCCGTGCGCTCCACCGCCAAGACCCCAGCTTTGCCTCTTCCACCACTCGGGTGGGAAGAGGGATGCGCTTGATTCTGCCCACAGGGCCTGTGCCAAGGCAATCAGATCTTTATGAAAGCAGTATTTTCTGTGTTTCCTGTTTAATTTACAGCCTTTCTTATTTTGATATTTTTTTTTTTTAACGTTGTGGATGAATGCCAACTTTCAGACGGAACCCACTTAGCTGGTCCACATGAATCTTGATGCCAACCCTCCATTCTTCCTCTCCAGATATTTTTGGGAGTAACAAACATTCTCTCATCATACTTAGCCTACCTAGATTTCTCATGACGAGTTAATGCATGTCCGTGGTTGGGTGCACCTGTAGTTCTGTTTATTGGTCAGTGGAAATGAAAAAAAAAAATCTGCGTTCATTGCAGTTCCAGTCGCTCTTCCATTCTGTGTCACAGACACCAACACACCACTCATTGGAAAATGGAAAAAAAATAAAAACAAGACAAAAAATGTACAATGGATGCATTGAAATTATATGTAATTGTATAAATGGTGCAACAGTAATAAAGTTAAACAATTAAAAGTAATGAAGACTGTTGTCTTTCTTCTCCCCCCCCTTTGTCCTCATGGGGAGTCACTCCATTAGAAAACAGACTGCTTTTTGTGTTGGACATTTTTCTTTCCTGCATATATACCAATGGAAGTAGAAAGCAGATCTTCAAGTTCATGTAATCATTATCGTTAAAAACAAAACACAACACAACAAAAAATCCAAAAAACAACAAAAAAACCAACGAAATAATCCACCATGAATCAGTGTAAGTTTTCCCATAAGACTAATACTTTCTGTGGGTACATCTCCTGTAAAAGCATGGATGTATTTGATACACTTTAAAAGAACGACTTTTGAATAAATGACAATCAAGAAACATTTCTTAAAGGCTGGGAAGAATAACATTCACTTATAGAAATATCATATGCATATAAATTCTGAAGCTACCAACGAACAGTATGTTTCCTTCCCCTTCTCTGCTTCTGATGAATTCGTAGCAGAGCCAAGAAAGGGGACCTGAGTGTGAAATATGGGCTAAGAGGCAAGAAAGCCTGCATGCCCTCATGGTGACTGGGTTTCTGTCCTAGTTTTGGTACCAACGCCTTTCAGCCTCTCCAGGCCTCCCTTGCTTTACCTTAAGGAAACAGCAACAACAACAACAGCCTGTGACCCCCTAAGGCAAGAGCCCTTTGATAACAAACATTTAGAAGTTTGTGTACATGCCAGGTAGCTACAGCATGGGTGAGTGGCCACAGATGGGGAAGAGGCTGCAGAGCCGTGATTTTTGTTCGTTGAGCTTGCACATCAGTTCTCAAGTGTAAGGACGGAAGTCTCTTGGATCTCTGGACAGTAATTCGGGCATTTTCCAATTTGATATTGTAAAAATCTCAAGTGCAAACCACTTTTTATAAAGAGCTTTAGCTACTACAAAGATTTCTCACACTTGAGTCAGAGAAATGTCAAGGTTTGTTTGCTTGTTTGTTTTTTGTTGGGAATGGGGGAGTGGATTGGGAGGTAATTTCCCAGAAAAAAGTAAGAATTTCATATTTTAAGGGTATAACTTTGGAAGTTTCCTGTAGAATTTGTGAAGGCCAATGTCACATGAGCGATATGAGGTATCAATTGGCCTGGTTCCATTCATGTGGGTTGCCATTACCTGTAGTTAAATAAAGAGGAAAGCTATCCTGTCCAAGTGCTTCCAGAGTGTCAGGAATCAGTACCACAGAAATGGTGAAGCTGAAGGCTGGCTGATATCCCGTAGGCGTTCAGCCCTTGTCCATGGTCATGTTGGGCTCCTTGGCTTCTTGTTTTTAGAGTGAAATTAATCTGAATTTTTGATGCATGAAGGCACAGCACACATGAACTCTGTAAATACATTCACCACTAGCTGTTTTAGGTAAGAAAAACGACAGGGGAATGCCCGGATTCTGACCAGTGTGCTCTAAAATGCATGAAGTCAGGTGGCAGACAGGGCACTGGTATTAGGGAGAGAACAGGTTCAATAAACCATGAAAGATGTTTATACAATTACAGATTATCTTTAAAATTAAAAATAATGCTTCTACTTTTGAAAATTAGATTTATTTATAAGTGCAAAGTGGTTATGAATATTAAATACTATTCATTTCTTACAATAAAACATGCTTGGTGGCAGTAATATGTGATAGACTCATTGCCTCCCCCCACTTTAATTATAACAGTCACTGGCTTTTGGGTGACGAGTATAGTCAACTTGGTCTTTTGGGATAACATTTATGGTTATAAATTGCTGGATGGGCTAAATGAACTAAGGAGACACTTTCCCCACAGCTTACAGGTAGACTTGAAGGATAATTAAACTCTGAGCTACATGCATTTTTTTTTTTTTAAAACTGTTGGGTACTTGTTCCAGCAATTAAAGAGTATCAGAAACGTGGTCACCAAAACATTGAATATTTAATTTTAACCTAAAGAAAGTGATATTTAATTTTATCGTCCTTTAGAAGACCTCATCATGTAGTTTGAAGCTGTATCTTCAGTAGAAAACAGAACCTGGGAAGGACTGGGTCAGTCAGGAAGCCAGTACGTGCTGGGCAGCCATATTAATATTGGATGAACCTATGCCATTCCCTCTTCATGAACATTTTCAAGTAAAGGAACAGCAGTGCACAGGCTGCTTGTTTCACTAACTTGGGCCTGTCTGTCTGCTTTCAGAAGAATTTAGGGCTCCAGAGCTTATATTTGTGGGGTGCCTGTGTGCATCCTGCAAGGAACGTGAGAAGGAATCAAAATGAATGTGTCCAGGGTAACTGCGTTTGTCCTGCTTTGGAGTTCCGCCCTGTAGCTGATGCTGCCTCTGAATGTTGGGGATAGACAAAGATTGCCAAGAGCTGGGCTGTGCCACCCGTCCTGGGCCCAATGTGGCCTCAGGCCTAGAGCAGGCCGCCTTTGGACAGCTTCCAGCCTTGAGGCAGAGGCTACCGGACAAGACCAGGGGAATCCTTCAGTCTTCTGGGAGCCTCTTCTTCCTCCTGGTGGGGGGTCAAGACCCAGATTGAATGGACAGTGAGGACATGGTTGTCAGCTACACAGTGCTGGCAAGAGCTAGACTTTCCTTAGTTGACTGTTGGGTAAGTTAAGCTGCTAGCTGTCCAGGTTCTGCATTGCTATACAAAGTCTATTTCCTTTAGTTTTCACTAAGTCAAACATCATGGTATATTGGAACAGTTTCTTTATTGAAACATGTAACAAATACATCCACAATCAGAGCTGCCCAACCAATTTTATGTTGTTCCTTCATGGATGTCAGAGTTTGACATGCAGCAAATTTTAGTCATTTCATTTATTGAAAAACAACAACAAAAAAACTATTTATAAAATTTACCATATTTGCTATTTTGGTGATACTGAACTTCTTGTCGTCGTGAAGCTGGTGAAATTAATCTCCATCATTTTTATTTCAGTTCAGACTTTCAACAGTAGCACTGAACTTACTTTTGGATTTTTAGCTAATTTACACAATATAAGAAAACTAGATCTTCAAAGCATAATCTTAAAATGTCCCAAATGGCAGCATTTCCTTGCAGACTTTATATGAACAGCCATTGTCTGCTTCATTTGTAATTAGCAGAGCTTCTTTTCCCCCAAGCAGTTGATATTGTAAAGATTTAAGTCATGAGTGGCTAAATACTGACCAGGGTAGCATTTTTGAAAAACCTATCTGCTAATGGGAAAGTAAGAAGGGCTACACAGAAGGAGGTTTTTCATGAAGACAGTCATATCTTTCATTTTTAAAATAAGTCATTCTTTATCATGAGGCTATATGTTTTCTAACTTTTTAATGACATAATTTTTACTGGTATATAACAGTTCAGAGTCTGGGACTGGTTTAGTACATTTCTCTAGGTTTTTCTTAGTTGTCGTTTTATTAAGAACAATTTTCATTCTGAAGCCATGCGTTTCTGTTCACATATATATTTAAGGAAATTCCTAGACGGAATGTCTTTGGAAAGAACAGGATCTTGAAAAAACATCCTGGTGCAATTGTACTCACTGAAATAGAAAGACCCAGAATATGTCTTTGTAGCTCTTGTACACTTAACATTCATTTTTTTTGAAATGCAAATATCACATTTTTATTTTGTTTTGTTTGAAGGTAATTTACATTCTCCTGAGTTTTTCTCTGGACTCAGGAAGATTCATTTTCAATATTCATAGATAAATTAACTGACAATATCTAACTTATCTATGTATTTTACTTCCTTCAGATCAGTGTATTAAAATGCCTAGCTTGCTAGGCACAGATTTAGAGTCAGTAAGAGAACACTTCTACTTACTTGCTTTCATTAACTTTTGATTTCATATGTTCCAAAACTTAAGAGATCCCCAGTAAAATACTGTCTGGGGACATTCTTACAAAAAGTGCCATTTTACGTACACCCCTCTAATCGTTAACCAGTTTCAGATAATCAAAGAAAAATTGTTAGCCTACAAGCATCCTGTAGGTAGAAACACAGTAAAGCTTTAAAATAAATTAATTTTCTAAAATCATGTAGCTGTTTTGATGAGAAGTCTGAAGGACTGAATTCCAAACACTAGAAAGACAGGCTCTTCACTGGCAGTCCTCCTGTCTCTTTGCTTTTTAAGCGATGAGTTTATTAAAGTAGAAAATGTTTGATTAGGCATCAGAGAATCTCGGCTGGTAATAGAGGGATCAATCCTTAATGCAGATTGGAATGTATTTATAAGCCACGTAAACCTGAAACTCAACCACGTCACACTGCTACTCAAAAGAGAAAAAAAAATGGCACCTGTTTGCCTTGAGGAAAGTATGTTCACTTGTAACACACTTTTCTTAACGAAAAGAGTGAGATGGGGAGAAATTCTGCAGCATTCTCTCTAAAGAGAAAGCAGTTCTGTTAATGGAAGAGAAAGATTGTTTCAGGACTGCACTGACAGAAACAGCCCAGTTTTGGGTTTTGCCAAAAAAAAGGGGAGGGCATGTCTCATTACAATAGCTTTTTGCACAGGTTTGGGAAATTTGACTTGACAGGTGAACCCCATTAAAAGAAGTGACTCTCAGGCCCCATAACAGCAGTTAACAATTTCTGCTCTACTCTGCCTTAGACCAGACATCCAAGAATAGAACTCTCTCAGCCGGAACCACCCACTTCAGCACCCAAGTCTGACTAGTATGCAAATTCCCCAGAGGGTATTGAAACACATTTTTTAAGCTAAGAATAATAGAGACTTGCTTGCTATCTCTTCAGCTGTCTTCTCTTTCAGGAGCTGAAATTGCCATGGCATCCAGAGCAATTTCTAGCTGTTCAAAGTAACACACACACACACACACACACACACACACACAAGAAACCCTCCACAATATGACACGGTGATAAAGCAGAGAACACATGAAAAGAGAGCCTTTCTGATGTCTGTCAGAACTTTACGATAACTTTTAGGTCTTTATTTCTCCTGTTTACTGTTTTCTCTACATTTTGTCTTTGTCACAAGGTTGCTGGGTTTTACTTTTTGTTGATGAATAATTTCCCATTT